TTGCATGCCCCCACAAAATCACAAAAACGACTATACCCAAAATTGGCCATAGGCGATGCTTTAAAAGCTTTTACCGCTCATCAATTTAGTGTTAACAGTGATTGATGGCCCTAGAATTATTACTCACACTTTGACATTTGCGTTGATATGTTAAATGTGCGGTACAATCATCATTTCGCATTTAGGTGCAGCTGATGCGTGTTAGAGTTTGTTTGTAGGTGGGGGCGGGGGACTTAAGTTTTTTAAGTTTTTTATGTGTCTTTAATTTAAACTTTATTTTTATTGTTTTACACTTACCTTTATTGCTATCACATGGGGACTAATAAGCCGCACTATGTGATAGCACAGACAAAGTGACAGGTCCTCTTTATGGAGACATCTGGGTCTATTAGACATCTAATGTCACCTAGGGACCTCAAAGAAGCTAATGAAGCAGAGATCTGCTTCTCTGGCTACAGTAGCTGGAGAAATGACAGTCTGAAAGTGGAAGTTATGTAATTCACATCACTTTCGCACTTCGTGATCAGAGGGGAGATCAGCCGCTGAAATGTGCTGATCTCCCCTTTGATTCAGCCACAAAGACCCACCGTGCTGGTCCCTGGCCCACACAGAGAACAGAGGAGCCCGGGATAGCCAGCAGCGGAGGGAGGGGGGTGAACACTTCCCAAACCCTTCCCGCACCATACAAGTGATCAGGTGGCTCTTTAGCAGGGGTTGTTAGCAATTGTAGTGCCTCTGACCTTGATTCCTTAACTTCATCTGGTCTTTTACATGTATTTGAAGCGCAAGGTCTTTCTCTAGTCTATATTAAGCCTTGCTATACCATCATTAGATGGGAGTAGTTTTCCGTCCAATTTAGATCTTTGAATGTGAGCCAAAAGTGCTCTGGAAAGCTTCTGTAAGTCATATGAATGCCTATGCTTATGTATAAATGTGTGCTTGTCTGATGGACAATACAGAGGGCAAATCTACAGCATCTCTCCCACATTCCATATGCTAAGAAAAAATTAATTTTCCAATCTGTCAGCGCTTGGTGGAGGTCTCTAGAGATGTAACATTTCTGGAAATTTTGAAGCCATGAGAAAAAAAAAACCTACGCCCCCCTACGCTCACCTCATTTGCAGGTCCGTAGGGGTGCGGGTTTTCTGGCCGGGACGCATACATGTTCCATTCCGGCGGCGTATGGATACGATCACCCGCACTGGAAGCACTTTTGTGGGTCCGTATGCCGTACGTCCTTGGCAGCGAAAGGGTTAATGCATCATAAACGGCGGACCATGGTGGCGAAATGGTGTTACAGTGGTGTGGAGTGCAATGTTCACTGCATCTGCCTCAAAAACATACTCCCCAGACATCCTTCAAGCTTTATTTGGTGGGCCTGTTTCTGAGGGAGAGTGAGACTTCAACAACAAGCCCTAAGGTCACATGACCACTCAGAAGTTTCACTCACAACCCTGCCCCAGCAGTCCTGTCAACTACTTCTCCCCAGGAGTCAGCAGCCTTCGAATTAAGCTGCTGCTAACTACTCAATTAAAAAAAGATGTGTGAGTGGATAAAGACTATGGAGGATTCTGGGTCCTACATACCTCCCCTCCACTACTCTTCCACACACCCAGTCACATATCCTCCCCCCCCAGCTCAGACCTACAGGGGCCCGAGCGGCCTTCACCATTAGGCAGTGTACACGGGAAAGACCATCGGCATTACCCTGGGCTTTACCAGCCCTGTGTTCCATAGAGAAATTAAATGCCTGAAGACTGAGAAACCACCTGGTCACTCTAGCATTTGTCTCTTTATTTTGCCTCATCCAAGTTAAAGGTGCATGATCGGTAACCAGTTTAAACCTTCTACCTAGCAGATAGTATTTTAATGCTTCTAACGCCCATTTAATTGCCAAACACTCTTTTTCGACTACAGAGTATCTTTGTTCATGCACATTCAATTTCCTACTCAAGTACATGACGGGATGTTCTTCACCCCTCTGCACTTGAGATAAGACTGCTCCCAAACCAACATCAGAAGCATCAGTTTGCACCACAAATCCTTTTGTGAAATCGGGGGTGACTACATAATGCCATCTTCAAGGTATTAAAGGCCAGCTCTGCCTCAGGGTTCCACTTTACCATCACTGAACTTTTAGACTTAGTTAGCTCTGTTAAAGGATTAGCGATTGTAGCAAAATTAGGGATGAATCTACGGTAATCTACTCAGCAAGACCTAGAAATGCCCTCACTTGTTTTTTTGTTACCGGACGAGGCCAGCAATAAATTGCCTCTACTTTGCCTTTTTGTGGTCTAAGTAACCCCCTTCCAATACTGTAGCCCAAATATTCGGCCTCTTCCAATCCTAAAGAGCATTTATCAGGGATGGCAGTTAGGCCGGCAGTCCGGATAGAATCTATCACCGCCTGAACTTGGGGCAAATGTGTTTCCCAGTCTGCACTATGAATCACTAAGTCATCAAGGTAGGCAGCTGCATACTCTCTATGAGGCCTAAGGATTCTATCCATCATCCTCTGAAAAGTCGCAGGGGCACCGTGTAACCCAAACGGTAATACTTCATACTGAAATAAGCCCTCTGGTGTACAAAAAGCAGTCTTTTCCTTTGCCTTTTCTGCCAGAGGAACCTGCCAATAGCCTTTTGTTAAGTCTAAAGTACTTAAATATCTGGCTCTATTAATTCATCAATCCGAGGCATAGGGTACACACAAAATTTAGAAATTTCATTCAATTTACGAAATTCATTACAGAATCGTATTTCCCCATTTGGTTTGGGCACTAGAACAATCGGACTGTTCCACTCACTCTGTGAAACCTCAATAACCCCTAATTCTAACATTTTCCTTACTTCGGCATTAACTTCTAGCCTCTGGTATCCTGTAAGGCCTCAAGTTAATCCTTTTCCCTGGTTCAGTAACAATGTCATGTTTAACAATCTGTGTTTTACCTGGGATCGGAGAGAACACATCTCTATTTTTACCCACAAACTCCTTTACTTCTAGCTTTTGATGAGGTGCTAGAGTCTCTGCAATCCGTACTTCCGGATCCGTCTGAATTATTTTGTGCGTAAATGCACTTTGCCTCATCGTTAACACCTCTCGTTCTACCCAGGGTTTTAGTACATTTATATGGTAAATTTGCTCTGGCTTCCTCCTGCCTGGTTGGCTCACTTTGTAATTTACCTCACAGACCTGTTCATTTATCTCATATGGTCCTTGCCAGCTTGCGAGAAACTTACATTCGGCTGTAATCTGATTACCAGGGAAGCCTGCTCTATGTCAGCGGAAGCACCGGTATTAGTATTCTGTGCCGGCGAGATCCGAAAGCAAAAAATCAGTACTCATACTCGATACTGAAAAACCGGTATTGGTGCATCCTTAGTTTTGATTAAAACTATTTTTTGTATTGGGACAAGTAGATTGTCGTGAAGGACAAGTAGATTTGGCCCCCGCTTCAGCCCTTGGACAAGTAGTTTTTTTTTAAATTTCCACACCCCTGGACAGTCACACCGGATCAGCACAGAGTATGTAGCTTCCTATTATTCTGCATTGGTGTATGGTTTATTGCTTGGATTTGTAGTCCTCTACAAATCCAAGCAATGTCACTGATGGTATTATAATAATAGCTACAGTTATAGAGGACTACAAATCCCAGCAATACATTATAAAGCAATGCCGAATGGCAACCAGCTATAGAGGACTACAGATCCCAGCAATACATCATACATCAATGCAGGATAATACTATTATTCTGCACTCCTGTATAATGTATTGCTGGACTTTTAGTCCTCTATAGCTGGTTGTCATTCTGCATTGCTGTATAATGTGTTGCTGGGCTCCTGTGAAATATCAGTGAAGTCAAGTGAAATAAAATAGTAAAAAAATAAATAACAATTAAAAATGTAAATACTTAAAAATGTAAAAAATAAAAAGGCGATGAGTAAAAAAATTAAGTAAAAACAAAGTAAAAAAATAATAAAAATGTAAACCAAACCCCTGCCCCCACCATCTGCATTCGAATAAACACGTGCACGGTGCATTGTGTGTGTGTGAGCGGAGTGGGCGACCCGTGACCATGCGGCAATCTGTATAAGGGGACCCAAACTTTCTGATGGCTGCCCTGCCTTAATGTATATACAGTAATACCTTGGTTTACGAGCATAATTCGTTCCGGAAGCATGCTTGTAATCCAAAGCGCTTGTATATCAAAGCGAACTTCCCCATAGGAAATAATGGAAATTCAGATGATTCGTTCCACAACCCAAAAATATTCATATACAAATGATTACAATACTGTACTGTAATATAATACTGTACAAAATATAAAGACAAATAAACCAATTACCCATACCTTTGTGGTTGGTGTGAGGGGGATGAGAGAGAGAAGGATTATTGTGTAGGACGACTTTCACTATCACTAACGGAATCACTGCTATCTCTTGACTCAATGGAATCTTTTTCATTTCGTGAAACCTTAACAAGGAATCTATCCAATGTGACATTGTGTTGTCGTTAAACAGACTCATCGCTCACACAGCTACAGCCTTATTCGGGTGGCGCTTTTCTACAAAATTTTGCTCTTATTGTAAGACATTTGCTTGTATATCAAGGCAAAATTTTTCAGAAATGTTTGCTTGTCTTGCAAAACGCTCTCAAACCAAGTTACTTGTAAACCAAGGTATTACTGTATAGTAGAACCTGAAACAGGAAAGTTGCTGGTGTATGCAGATGGCTGCAGATTACACATCTGGAGACAAAGCATAAAGAAATGGCAATATTTACACTGGGTACAGATAACCACAGAAATAATCATTTTTGGAATACACAGTACTCCCTTTTATTTCTTTGCATTTTAAAGGGAAGGTTAATGCCAAAAGATAAACACTTGTATACATTTGCATGTTTAAAATATGTGTAATTTATATTATGTGTTATCTAAAACATTGTTCATTTATATTGTTTTATATTACATAATAATATTATATATTATTTTTATGTGCAGAATTTGCATCGCCCTCTGGTTTTGCGTACAGCTGATGTCCGGCGAGTTCTGACTCAGACAGACATATTGGAAATGTGGAAGATGGATTTAAAACCCATTTTAATTGAGAGATTTGCTGGGTCACCAGGGAGCTATGCAGTACAGCAAGTGAGTTTTATTTTTCAAAATCCTGTAACTGAATTTCTCCTGATAGGATCTTTTTATTTTTTTTCCAATCACAATAAAAACATGTCCTCATTGCAGGACACAGGATTCTTAAATATCTGGGTTATACTGCCACCTACAGGAGAATAGGACACTGGTAAACAAAAAAACCTGTTGGCCAGCCCCCAGGGTATAACCCCTCCCATGATCAGCATGCTTCTGATTTTTGCTAGTGTTATTGCATCTTACTGTGACAGACCCTGCCGAACTAGACATTCGCAGAGTGAGCCTGGAAGTGGCCTTCTGGCACTTTGAGTACTTTACAGGCTTAGATCTGGTCTCTCACTGCTAAGTAGTTTCCAGGTCCAGAGCCATGTAGTATGTAGCACTGTGGTGGCCACCTATGAGTCCAGTTTACTCCTCCTGGTTATGTCTAATTGACATGGTAGACACTAACGTGAGGCTGGAGGATCAGCACGTCGCTACTTCCATCTCATTATCCAGTCTTGGCTCATACAAGCCTCCCACTTGGACTCCCACTTCAAGGACTCTTTTACATCATCTTCTGTTTGAAGTGTTTCTCCATAAGGACTCTAAACACTCTTGGCCTGTTCCTGTGGTTGATCCAGCCATCTCTTGCCTAAACAAGGCAAGCACCATACCAGCGGTGGATGTCTCTTCTTTCAAGGACCCCATGACAAGAGGCTGTAAGATCTAGGTCCATGTTTTCCCTCTCTGATACTGCATTGCACCCAATTCTGGCCTTGGTTTTACTATGTCAAACTGTCAGCGACTGGGCCCTTAAATGGAAAATAATCAATGTTGGTGTGGACCAAATGATCATAAACTTTAGCTGTGATGGGGTTCTGGGGACTTCACATCTTCACTTGCTTCACATGCCCTTTGAGGGTCAGCTCCTCTTTTTGGTATTACAGGAGCATTAAGGATGCTACCGGGTAAAGGAATACCCATCTTCTTCAGATTAGGGCCTCATTCACATAGATGAACAGCAACAGCAACAACTGCCTGCATCCAAGAGCGAGCAGCTGTACCTGTACGGATGTGCAAGTTTGGGTCAACATGTAGCCAACTGCAAACACGTCCTGTCATAGAGATTTACAGGTGGCTGCATGTTGCTACATGCAGCACCTGTCTCTCCCAGGTGCAGGTTTTGCCCAGACGTGCATGCTGTACTGATGTGCACCTCTGTGTGAATAAGTGCTAAAAAGAGCAAGGACTAGATTCGTAAGTCATCTCCATCCTTGCCTTCTTCGCTACTGTGTGTCTTCTGCCTGCATTGGGTCTTTGTAAATCTGTTTCTTCATTCACCTGTAAGGTTTGGCACACCAAATCATTCCTGTTACCCTCGCTGAACCAAACTGCCCCAGGAGGACATGACACTTAGGGACTAGGGGCTTGTTTACCATCCTTCTTGAATGCTGGATTTAACAGCTTGGCTGTTGAAGCCCAGGCTCTAAGGGATAAGTGCCAATTGGATTCAGTAATTCCTATGCTGTTCAGAGCTAGGAAACTAACTTTTTGCAAGGTCTCTGTTTGACAGGGCTGCCATCAGAAACTTTTAGGGCCCCCTACACAGCTTTAGGCTGCAGGCACTGTGCGGGCTCTCAAGTGGGCTGCGGGCTCGGTGCAGGCTGTGTGTGGGCCCTCAGGTGGACTGCAGGCTCTGTGCGGCATGTGTGAGGGCTCTCAGGTGGACTGCGAGCTCTGTGCGGGCACTGTACAGGCTCTCAGGAGCACTGCGGGCTCCGTGCAGGCACCCTGTGTGTGGGCTCTCAGGTGGGCTGCAGGCTCTGTGCGGGCACTGTGCTGGCTCTCAGGTGGACTGCGGGCTCTGTGCGGGCTGTGTGTGGGCTCTCAGGTGGACTGCAGTCTCTGTATGGGCACTGTGCAGGCTGTGTGCGGGCTCTCGGGTAGACTGCGGGCTCTGTGCAGGCTGTGTGCGGGCTCTCCCTCCCTACCCCCATCGCCAGGCCGCTAAACCACATACCTTACCACTCAAGCGACTCTGCTCCACTCCCGGATCGCTGTTTGGTAAAGCCCGCTACAGACCAAGCTCGACCCCTGAAAAAAACCCTTCCTGCATGTACAGGAGGGTACCAAGTTACAGGGGGGGGGGGGGCTACC